CTTTTACGGGGAAACTACCCAGATTGATAATCAGTTCTCTCTATTTAATATTGTTTTTTTAAGGTTTTTTTCTTTTTGTGATTAATTAATTTTTGTAAATTAAGTTTGCATTGCCTTGTTATATACTCGGTTAAGTTAACAGCTCGGGTGACCTTCGCCGAGCTTAAAATAAAGACGATTTTATTTATTTATTTAAGTTCATCAATAAATTTATAAATTCAATTAATAAATACAGGGCAATACGAGTTTGTAGCGTAATGTTTATTTAAAAAAATTAACTACAACAACAACGTTGCTATTGCCATAGCGAGAATGGTGTGGAAGGTAAATTCAGCAAAGCTGGTGAATAATTATAAACCTCGTTTTCTACTTAGAACTTGTGCGCCAAACAGGAAGACAGGTGACTGCTATTAATACCCCCCACGCGGCTTTAGCAATTTTCGCGTATATTTTGCAACCATCAATCTGGAAAGGTCCACATTTGCAGTTTACACTTGTGTCGATTTTACGACCTGGCGACGCGGACGACGTTTCTTATTTGCAGTAATTTGGTTTATTTCGAATTTCGATTCGCAACGAGTGATCAGTTTCATTCGCGCGCGTCAGATTGTTTTAAAATACACAAAACAAAACGAGTCGTAAAGGTGTCCATCGACTGCATGTTTTTAACGAGATTTTTGAAACGAAAAAAGTCGGAATCGTTCCCAATTACCACAACCCTATTTAAAATTTATGTATCAGACGTCCTTAAGAACCTGGGGCAAGAAACGTTCTACAATGGGAATACAAATAAATGCCAACCAATAACTCCATTCTCTACAATTCGCAGACGATCAGGTTGTTATAGCTCTGGACAAGGAAAACCTAAATAAATAAAAGAATAATAAAAATAGGGATTAGAAGTAAATAAGGAAAATACAAAATATATATGGGTTGGTGGACAGGGAGATATAGTGATTAAAGTTTTGTGAGGAATACAAGTACCTAGGAGTTAAAATCACAATAAAGGAACTTTAAGAACGATTTAGTAAAGGCAAGAAGATCATTGGAGCACTGAATTCGGTACTTTGGGAGGAAGGGGGTCACAGAATCCTACATTCCGTGACACCGAATTCAGTGCTCCAATGATCTTCTTGCCTTTACTAATTCGTTCTTAAAGTTCCTTTATTGTGATTTTAACTTTAGTTTAGTGAAGAGATATGTTTTTTGTAAATTATAACTTTTGTGTCCTATTTGAATTTTGTGTTCCTTGAAAATGGTTTGGAGTTTTTCTGATAATCCAGGTATATATGGTAGCGATATATATTTTCTTTGAAGATTTTGATGTTGATTATTGTTTACGTTATTATAAAATTTATTGGTACGTTTATTAAACATATTATTAATTAAGTTTATGGGAAAATTATTTTCTACAAGTGTGTTTTGCTTTTTCAATTGCGTCTGGTCTATATTCTGGATCGGATAACATTATTGCTCTGTCTGCGAGACCTATTATAGAACACAAAAGTTATAATTTACAAAAAACTTATCTCTTCACTAAACTCAAAGCAAAAATTCCAGTTGAAAAAAGAATCAATATAGTATATAAAATTCCATGCTCTAATTGCGAGAGTGTATATATAAGACAAACAAGCCAATGTTTAAAAAATAGAATCAACGGACATAAGTATGACAAAAAAAAAACAAAACAGCTCTTCATACCCATTGCGAAAACACCAAACACACATTTAATTTTCAAAAAGTTAAAGTCCTACTAACAGAACCTAATAAAAAAAAAGAAAACTTTATGAAAGTATAGAAATCCAAAAAAACAAAAATTCAATTAATTACAAAACCGATTCTAAAAACCTTAACATAATATATCATTCAATTTTAAACTAGCAAAATTAAATTATCCAATATAATAAAAAATAATAAAAAACATCCGTACCTGTTTTGTACCAATTCGCATAAAATATTCGCTGACAAATTATTTTTATTTTTAATATATTAACACAACGTCAAATGTCATCATTAATTGTTATATATGTCACCTATACAGAATAAGAATATTTTGAAAAAGATCGAAATTACGATGGAAACGTTAATAAATATTTAGAAGAATCACATTAATTGTTTTCGAGAGACCGAATACCCAAGAGAAATTGAAGAAAATATACACGCGACGGTCCAAGAAACTACATCCAATAAAAATTCATATATATATATATATATATATATATATATATATATATATATATATATATATATATATATATATATATATATTCTCACGTATTGATTCACGGATGGAAAAATGTGATGACACTATATTCCGGGATATCATCCGTTCGCTCGTTGAACTCCGACTGGAATCCTGCATCCGACTGGAATCCTGCAAATCCTGCATCCGACTGGAATCCTGCAGACGTTTCGCCAAAATCTCACTTGGCATCTTCAATGCTCGCGCTCCGAAGTGTTCGAAGTGTTTTCGGAGCGCGAGCATTGAAGATGCCAAGTGAGATTTTGGCGAAACGTCTGCAGGATTCCAGTCGGATGCAGGATTTGCAGGATTCCAGTCGGATGCAGGATTCCAGTCGGAGTTCAACGAGCGAACGGATGATATCCCGGAATATAGTGTCATCATATATATATATATATATATATATATATATATATATATATATATATATATATATATATATATATATATATATATATATATATATATATATATATATATATATATATATATATATATATATATATATATATATATATATTCTCACGTATTGATTCACGGATGGAAAAATGTGATGACACTATATTCCGGGATATCATCCGTTCGCTCGTTGGAATCCTGCATCCGACTGGAATCCTGCAGACGTTTCGCCAAAATCTCACGTGGCATCTTCAATGCTCGCGCAGTGTTCGAAGTGTTTTCGGAGTTAAATTTCGAATATAAAATATTCGAAAATAAACATTGTTCAAATACTTAGATACGTATAACAGTTGAACAGAAAATACAAAGCCATAGCTGATTCATCAAAAATAGAGTCTTTCATAAGATCTTTTAGTTCCCATTTTGACAAAAAACTCGTTGTCAATCACACAGTTATAACAACATATAATTTTATAAATCTACAGTTCTGGATAATTTAAGTTCTACAGCTGATAGCACTATGAATCGTTGAAAATATTTGGCCCACAAAAATCCTTTGAACCTGAGCAGGTCCAAGTTCATGAGAGTTTATGTCTTCTAGTTTTAAAAAATCATCGAAGAAAGGCGATATGTGATCTAGGAACTCCAAATATATGTTTATTTCTGGATGATGTAAATTTTTAAGAATTGTTTCTGTCGATTCTAAATTAACATGTACAGCATCAATAATCAATAAGTCTTAGAGCACTGTTCTAAAATACGGGAAACGACTTGATAAAGAATCAGCCACCGGGTCTGAGAAGGATATAGTAATCTATGTGACTTTATATTGACAATTTCTTGAAATTTCAAAAATTCGCTTATTTTATTAAAGCTAAACTGAAAATACTCAACCGGCCTTTTACAGTGTTTGGAAATTTCCTTGTTGCTCTTTTCTAAATATAGGCACAAATTATTTCTCTAGAACTCAAGTAGTTTTCCCCCAATTACCTACAGGTAGCAAAATTTCCCTCAAATAGGGATACTTCACTACAGATGGCAACACTGCTAAGTAATAAATTTTTGATTAAGTTATTCGCATTTTGTTGTCAAAACTAAGTGAGCAATGTCAAATAAAGCAATGAAAAGACACACCTTAAGAAGTGACAGCAACCGATTCAATTTGTTTTATCTCGTTATGCACTGCTTTAGAATTCATTTTTTTATTTGGAAAAATAATACTTTCTTTATGCTATTGCATAAGTTTGTATAATTTAACCTCCTCCTTGAAAAAAAATTAAGAAAGTGTGTTTTTATTATAGGAATATTTTCGTCATTCATTATTGTTCTATTTTCGTTTTTAAGGCAGGAAATAAAAACATTATTTTTCAACTATTTTAAAAAATAAATCACCCCATTAAGTTGGAACACCCTATATATGACAATATAAAGCGCTACTTATTGAAAGGCTTACTGATTACCGTCTTGTTTGGTTTTTAAATCTGCAAAGAGGGGTATTATTTTATAAAATATTTAGCTTTAGTTTTATCTAAATAAAAATTCTTTTTAAGTTTCCTGAATAAATAATTCATTATTTTATCGTTACATTTATTACAAATATATTAATAAATATGATATAATTTTTGGCACTTCCGAATAAGGTGCTGAAAAACAAAATAATTATTACGACTCTCATTTCCGGTCGTGGCAGGAAAAAAGGCTAGTGTATGGACACCTCAATTTTCCGGAAAAATATTTACAGGATACTTTAATGCCGCGATCTATTTCCAGACCCACCGCCCAAATAACATAGAAAGGATAAGAGAAACATCCAAGTGACAAGGTTTTATGTACCCCGCGGTCTGATATGTTTGTTTATACGGGGTATTTGGTTAACATCAGAAGAACCGCTCTTTTGATATCAAGCGATCGGTTTTAAAGGCGCAGACATGGATTAATGGAAGTCTGTGGGGATAATTTGGAATACAAATTCAAGCAGCCTATTGTTAGAAAAAATAAATAATAAATAAATAAAACATTAATAAATAGAAAATAAATAAATGATAAACAAAAACATTTTAATTAACTTTACTCACTTTACTTACTAACAGTGACTCGGCACAATTCTACTCAAGTCCTTTTCCCGATGAATAACTATGCAAGATGGTGTAACCCAGGTTGAGACTGGGTTGAATGTGGTATAGTATATAACAACTGTACAATTGCAACCAGACTATACACAACCACATACCGATTACTTTTTAGCAGTATTTTGGCCAATTAATCAGCTTGGCTTACATACTAATATAGTTCTGATGCTTGTCGCTTCAGGAAGTAGTTTTTTTGAATACCGACAAATTTTAACTCAAGCCTTTTGCAGTTTTCTTGCAGGTCTACAAGCGGTAGATGCGTCGAAATATGTTAAGGACAAGGCGGAGGGACAACAATGTAAAACCTAACAGAAGGTAAATTTTGCTACGTCTCTAGCGCTGCGTCATAACGTTTAACGTAATCTCGACTCGCGTGAATATGGCGACAAAAAAAATTCCAACAATAATAAAAGTCGATATCAATAACCAAAACTAAAAATTCTAATAATTGTCTCGATTTTTACAGGGATTTCAGTTTGAAAAATAGGTAACGGTAGCGTTTGAGGCTTTTTTGGGAACCAGCTAACCAAAATATCCCTCCAGAAACTCCGATTTAACCTCTAATATAACGAGAAGAAAAAAAACAAGATTTTTGCACTTCAGAAAACCAATGATATCCCATTCCCATAGTTTTCGTGAGCCCTCTTCCCGTCAACCCCAAGTCAAGGCAAATCTCACCGATATTAAAAACAATTGTAATCAAAAATAATTAAATTTTTGCTACAGTTCGAGCTTTGCCCAGCGTTTAAAGGTAGGGAGGATTTTAGACATGGAAATATTTTTGCAACTATATCAAACATATTTTCACATATTTCTATTAACATCGTTCACACTAAATATTATTTAAATAAATTAACCGTAAATTTAAAAATCTTCACGATGTTTCATTTGTCGGCAATGTGCCAAAAAGCATAATTGAAAGCTATAACATTTTAATTAAATTTTGTTTAAAAAATAACAAAATTGCTTTAGTATTGCGAACAGATTATATGATTTCGATTATTCGAACAAATTTTTGTTTTTCTTTGTTAAAATATCTTGCCTTAAAGGCAAGATTGTTAATCATGCCATGGAACAACTATTCTAAAAAAGAAGCGAATAATCACAGTCCCCTCCGGCCTGTCAAAAATTGTAAAATCCCATTTATAGTATATAGTTTAGTATTTATTAACAACAATAAACTCATATATAAACAAACAATATAGAAATACCGCATACCAAATATCAAAACTCAAGACCCAATATTCCTATGAAACGACACTAAACGCGGGGGATTGATCGTGACGTCATACCGCTGCTTTTCGATCGATACGGCGACAGGTTATAGGGTAATTCGCGGGCAATAGGACTAGAATTACATTATATACGTTTATTTTTAGCTCGTTTAAAGGTAAAACGCCAGATAAACTTTTTATTCGTCCACTAGAAAATAAAAGCCGTCGTTGTTTTGCGTCAACATTATGTTCAGGTGTCACTTCAGCCTTAATCGAACGGGCTTCCTGATATATATAAAATAAAGAACACTTATCAATATGAATATACTTTAAAATCAGTATTTAGCTTTCCACTAGTTAAAAAAAATCATATTTGTTTTTCTTTTTGTTGAATAATTTACATTTTATTTGATATACCGCTAGAATTTTAAAAACTAGAAAATTTTAAGCTTATTACAATATTATATTGGTTTAAAATTAGTGTCTAACTTTTCTATGAAAATACCTTTTAGCTGTAACACTGCGAACTTCAGCAAAAGATGTCACCATAAACATACCCACTAAATGTAAATTATCAGATTTACCTTTTAAGAAATCGGCTTCGGGCATTTCAAACCTTTCTTTTGATATTAAACACCAGATAACAAAAGCAAGCGACAGGGTCAAGGCTAAAATTAAAATTAAACCAACAAGACAAGCGAATTGACGTCACAACCGGTCACAGCACAAGGTTTCAAAGAGGATTTAAATTTGACAACTTTTCATTGCTTATATTTGTTACATAGAACTACGAAAATAAACTAACTTTTAGAACCAATATTTTTCAGATTAAACTTTTGTTCGCTATTCTGCACAATTTTTAAGGTTCAAATAAGATGCATCGGAAAAAGGGCAAAAGATCAAATTTTTATTTTAGGAAAAAGCAGCGGCATACCATTTTTTTCTTTAAAAAAAAAGCATAAAAATCTGGTACGCACGTGTCAAATTTCTTTCAAAATATTTGCTGCTGTTTGAAAGCAGCGTACAAAACGCCAATGGAATATCTATGAAAGTTATGGTTAAAAAAGACATATTTTTGTCTACCTAAACGATTTCTACTAATGTATTTTTGTATGCTGAGCTTTGCGTTTTAAAAAACATTTAATTTATTGACATATGTTGTCTTCTTCGCATAAACATATATCCCAAAATGTCTGATTTTATAGTTACAAGGCGACAAACTTTCTTTTTAAGGTCGTTTTTTTATTAAAATTGTCAATATTGTTTTGTTGAATTATGGCAGTGATAATTGTAGTAATAAATAGATCGTTTGGCTCCATGTACATCCTCAATACCATAAAGTTCAGTGGCGCCCCAGTGGGGCTTTCTAACCAATTTTTAAACATTAACATTTAAACAACTGAAAACGAAAGTGTCCTTATCTGAACACATCTATTTAGTTATTAAATTTACCGCGCATAACAACCTCTTATAGTGAATAATATTTTTGGTACTGTTTACAAAACCTCAAATTTGCAATAAATAAAAATATAAACTCTTGAGAAGTCATTCAAAACATCCGAGACGCACGATAAAGCTCCTCCCCTACCCTCCATTGTGAATTGAATTAATGGAAAACTGCGGTTGCGTTTATCGGTAGATTTGCCCCGCTCCCCACTATTTACTAACCCGGCATGCCTCTCTTATTTCACGCGGAATTTTGGTTTTAGTTTTCTCTTGTTCGAAAAAGTTTGGCGAAATATTCGGAGACCTCCGAAACCCCAGCTACTTTTCGATTCGTTTCTGTTTCAAGGTTAGATAGAAAATCGTCGAGAGGGATGTTGTACGAAAATGAAGAGCTAAGACTGAAAACCATCAACATCAACGCCGAAATCGAACGAGGTAATTTTTCGGTATTGGACGTCGCCCAAAAAATATGGATCAAGGTCTCGGATCCACGGACGTCGCTTTTGTTTCCATTATTTTTTTTTCGAAATACGTTTTCCCGCAATAGCTCGCGATCGACGAAGGTTTGTCTAATTTAGAGTTAAAAATTAAAGTAAGTTTCAGTGAGGGGGTAATAATGTGTATAGTTTTCGGAATATTGACAATATATCCAGTTCGTAAATGGAAAAACTGGAACTCCTTTGAAAAATTGTGTACTGTTTTAATTTAACATTCGATTCCTTTTAATTAAGCTTACGATATAGAACAAGTTCACAAATGGCAGACAAAAATTAAAATTAACTAACCAAAACTATTATTACCCAATTTACTTGGTGGAAGTGGTTTTTACGATTTAACGCAATTGCTCTATTAAGTATAAGAATTAGCAATAACTCGTTATAGAGATATCAGTAATACCAATAGTTTATAACAAAAAAATTAGTCATCGTGGGGGGGGGGGGGGGGGGTAGATTTTTGATAGTTCTGAGGGTCCTCAAAATTATATTGTTATAGTTACATTCCTGCAATAATCAAAAATTTCAATAATTATGTTTAATTATCAAAATGGATAATTGGAAATGTAAAAACGGAGTTCATAAATAAATAAGAACATATATAATTACAATTTACTTAATGAGATAGAGATTAAATTTTATTATGTGTCTTGGGAATATTTATCACCTGGGTTAAATTGCGTGTTTGATATTGATATTATCAATTTGAAATCCTATATATTATCAGATTTTCGAAATATTAAGTATTTTTCTCCATTTTTTTATCTATCTTTATTACAGTCATATTTGAATTCGTGGAGAATTGACATTTTGGCTACAGTTGGTGAAGGTACTCATGTACTGCGATCATATCGATTATACCGGTGAAAAGAAAAGTAATGGACGTTTATTTTTTTTAAAGGCAAACGCCCTATATTGTAGCAAATATTCTAAAAGACAACCAAAACTCCTTAAATTTTATTGGATTATTTGGCAGATTTACCAGTTTAACCAAGTCGGTATTAACATTATAATTAACATAGATATTGTAGTGAAAATGTCATACCGAGATGGACCTTAATTGAGAAGTAATTGTTTTTCATTTAAGATGATTGATGTAGCTAAGACTTATTCCGAGTTCACGCCCAACTAATATTTTTCGTAACTTAATGAGATTTATAAGGAGTTTAGTAGAAACCACCTTAGATTTATAAGAAAACCATTCGTGTTACAAGTTTTGTAAGACATCCCCAATAAATATCAAAATACTTCGTATTTTTATTATTATAAATCTTTTACTCTAGCTGAGATCGTAAAAAACCTTTATAAAATAAAATACTACTATGAAACCTAAAGATTACAGTCCAGTAAGTATTGATCATTGTTTTCTTTAATGCCACCAGCCAAGAACAAAAATTGACAAAAAATTAAATATCGTAGCAGGTTTTGAATGAATTTGGATCCCGCTTCAGATTGCTTCCATATTTAACTCTTTTAGGAGACCAAAAAAGTACCCCGTTAAACTCCCAAGGTGTTTCAATGAAACAAATTAAAGCAATATATACCGGGTGACACAAGAAAGTGGGAACACTCCATAACTTTTAAATGGCTTGAGATAGCCATTTAAAATTTGGAAGGATTAATTTAGACTGAATGTCCAATTTTTTGACAATATGTAGTCAATGGTTGCACTTGCGGTTTGAGCAGAAACGACAGTAACTTTCGAATGGCAGAACTTATATTTTTTTGCATTCGCATGTATAGGATGATTTTTCTTCTTTTTTTTTAATTTTTATTTAATTTTTGAAAATTGTGTCTAAGAAAAATTGTAAATGAAATTTTTGTTTACTTATCTAATGGCAAACAGCATTAACTATAATGAACTATTTTTTTTAGATAACATAGTTTTTTCAAATAGCACCCTAGAGGAAAAATTTCCAAGATCCGTTAAAAAATAACGTCACAGGAATGAAAGAAAAAAAACAGATTATTATAAAAACAAAATATTACTTAGGTGGCTTTGTTTCTATTCATTATTAATTGTCAAAATGCACGGGAAACTCCCGACAAGCTCAAAAAATTGGACATTCAGCCTATATTAACCCTTCCCAATTTCAAATCGCTATCTCAAGCCGTCTAAAAGTTATAGTGTTCAAAATTTCTTGTGTCACCCGGTATATAAATTTCTCGTGCCATATAAAATGAAGTGGTAGCGGAAAATTTTCATTCGAGTTGTTATAATATTTATATAAAAACATTTATTAAATCTTCCTAATCACGTAAAAGTATAAATCCATTGGTGTCAAACTTAGAGTTAAAGCAAAATACAATGACAAAGACGGGACATAAAATATATTGTATAACTAAGTAGGTAAAGCAAAAAGAGGGCGTTTTTTCTTCGGTGTTTATAAACGCCGTTAGGTGGGTTTTATAAAATCGTTATAAAACGTTAAAAAATGAAATTATTGGCGAACATACCGACGCCTAGACCGTTTTGATACGCGTAAATTTCTCGAATTTTTATAGAAATTTAATAACCGGAGGCGGAGACGAAGCGTGTCGCGTTAAAAATAAATGCAATAAAACGCTCGGCTTTGGGCCGTATAAAATTAAATATTGTACGTATACGAGAACGATTCTCGAAAATTATTTACAGGCACGCGCGTGTTCCTTAGAAATTAATAATAAAAAGTGGTGAAAACGAAAACAAATCGAATCGTTTGACACGAAATTTTGATTAATGTATTCCCTTTTGATGTAAGCAGCGGCGAACATTTTCAGGTCAGTCCGACATCAAAAAATTGAAACGAGAGAACGAGATGCTGAAAAAGGAAATATGGTGCCTGCGCGACGAATACGACAAACTGGACAAGCTGCTCAAGGACAAAAAATTGGACTTTTCCTCGTCGTCTACCACGTACAGCAGTTCGAGCGATTCGGTAAAATAAAAAGCGATTTTCTAAACGGTATATCTGTGTACGAAATATCCCAAAACGATTTTCTTCACTTCTATAAAATGCCCAATTATATACGGATCTAGTGTGTCATTTTACCACGCCAGTTTCGTTTCCCGCGGATACGAGCAAATTCGGACATTTCCGGGATATTACCGAACGGATTTGGGAGCAATCGGATGTTTTCGGAGATACAGGGTGCGGCAAAAAGGTGGACAGGATTTCAAAAAGTGATTGTTCGGTTTGCAAAACCGGCAACACTGTGTACGCACTCGCGTTAAGCAGACAAAAGTGCAATTTTCAGTTATCGGCATGGCTTGGAGGGGAGTGCGTCGTGCTTTCATTGTCGAGGAGTTTATTAGAAATGGGGAATCTGTAATAGCGACGCAGCGCCTTTCGTAATTAGTTTGATGTTGGTCGGCATCGCGCGGTTCCGGATGGAAGAACAATTCGTCGGTGGGTTTTACACTTCAGGGAAACAGGGCCAGTAAGAACACCGGAAAATGTGAATGCAGTATGAGTTTCCGTACAACAGTCTCCAAGGCGGCGTTCAGCTCGTAAGCGTGCAGCTGCTTTGGAAATTCCCGATAGAAGTGTTCGAAGAATTTTACACAACTCACTCCAAATGCATTCCCAGAGGCGCTGCATTCACGTCTAGCGATGAAGCTCACTTTCACCTCTCGGGTACCGTAAATAAGCAAAATTTTCGTTATTGGTCAGCAAATAGTCCACAGGGACTTCATGAGCCACCTCTTCACAGTCCAAAAGTCACCGTCTGGTGTGCAATCTCAAAGTTCGGCGTGTGGGGTCCTTAATTTTTCGAAGAATATGGAATAACGGTAACAGTCAACGGAAATCGATATTTTGATATGTTTAACAATTTCCTGCGTCCAAAAGTGAACGAGTTGAACAACGATCAAGGAGAACATCTTTGGTTCCAGCAGGATGATGCTACATCGAACACAACGAGTCGTTCACTAAATCTTCAAGAAATGTTCCTAAACAAGGTGGCCTCTTTACGGGGTGATCGATCTTGGCTGGCCGCCACGTTCGCCTGATTTCTCGCCTTGCGACTTATTTCTTTGGGGTAACCTGAAAGCGAGAGTTTTCGTCCGCCGACTTTGGAAGAATTAAAGGCAGCCGTAAGACAAGAATGCATCGACAATAATGGCCGTCATTTAAAAGACATCATTTTTAAAAAATAACATTCCTAAATGGCATAAAATGTACATTTCAAAAATAATTAAAAAAAAAAGTTTGCTTTATGTAGTTTGGTTTTTAGTAACATCTCAAATAGTACCTATCGTTTTGCCGCACCCTGTATTTGCCAAGTATTGTTTGTTGTTGTTTTCGTATAGTTTTCCAAAAATGTAACTAAAAACTAAGTCGTAGAAAAAGTATAGTACCTATGCAACACGTTTGGTAAACTTTTTAACAAATGCCGTCTAATTTAATATCAAAAAGGAGTAACTTGCAAATAAAATTAATTTTTATTATAATAACACGAAATTTATATTTAAGGTTATAAAATCTGATTTTTTGCGCGAAACAAAGTTGCTCCCAAAGTATTCTCAAAAGGTATTTAAAAATTACTTTCTTACTATAGAGGTAGTCCACAATGTGGTAAAATTATCAAACTTAGTAGTAATGGAGACCCCTACATATTATTGCATTTTCGATAACGTTTGCAAAAAATAAATTAAATAGAATCTTATTTGAACAAGCAGCTTTGAAGTGATTTTCCACTGGCGAGTTAGACACGTGCTTATTTGGTTCGTAATGACGGAAAGTCAAATTTCTTTTTTATTTTTTTTTGACACAATTTGAGTTTTCATACATTTTGGATATTTAGAGTCACAGTAAGGATTTTCATAGACACAGACGCCTAGGTCCATAAATATTTTTACATTAAATTGTATTGTTTTGGTTTTTTTAGAGAATTTGTCAAAAAACTTAATTTCTCAAATTCGTAAGAAATATTTAAGGTACGTAAGCGAAATCTATAGGCTTCTCATCTTACAAGGGTGACAAAAAATTTATTCTAATCTAAGAACAACTTTAGGTGACTATAACTTGATTAATTTCAATGGAATTGCCTATCGAATGGTTAAGGATTTGTGGTGTTATCTAAATAATTTTTTTATTGCTCTAATTGTAAGTAATCGATTCCGTCTGGTTTTGCTGTACACTCTGCGTATTGGATGATCTGTGGATTTAGATATTTTATGACTGCATTGATCACATTCTCTGATACTTTATCAAGACTTTACATTGGTGCAAATGACATGAGTAAGATCACGTCAAGTGGACCCCCCCATTTACCACTTAAGCATAAAAATTTAATCTATATGTATTTTTTATAAGTAGTTATGATGGAAAATTGATCCCCCAAAGGATTTTTAAAAAGTTTGATTTTAACAGCATTTTTTTATAATGAAAATTTTAAGCACTTTTAATTAAAAAATGGATTAAAAATCAACCGTAAGAGATAAATTTAGGAAATTTTCAGCATCCATGGGCCGTGGTTAAAAATTTAAAGTTGATTATTTTTTTCTAAATTTAAGATGTTTGATAAAAATAATAAAAAAAGGGATAGTATTCTTTATAACATTGTTAAAAAAAATTAAATTTTATTAATAATAATTATAATAAAATAACATAAATAATAATAAAATTTGTTTTATCATAAAATTTTGTGTTATTATTTTAAATTATCACTGATAAAACATTCAATGCAGTTCGAGACGCTCGGCAGAGTGGCGCTTCCACAGCGCTTAACGCCAGGAGCGCTGTCATAAATAAATTCATTTTATTTAAACTAATAACGACCAGTGAAATTTTCTTCCGAAATCTTAAACTTAAATGTGTAAAGCATGTGACCGATAAAAAAACATGTTTTTTTTTACTAATAAATCAGTTAAGTTTCCATTTGTCAACTTAAAAGTTAGTTAACAATACGAAAATAAACAAATAATTTTAAATCGTTAATATATTCTTAAAGTATAGACATTTGACTGTGGATGCTGAAAATTTCATAGATTTGTCCCTTACGGTTGATTTTTAATCCATTTTTTAATTAAAAGTGCGTAAAATTTTCATTATAAAAAAAAGTTGTTAAAATCAAATTTTGAAAAATCGTTTGGGGGATCAATTTTCCATCATAATTAGATTAATTTTTTATAATCAAGTGGTAAATGGGGGGTCCACTTGTTTAAAAACTAACAAAAATAAACTTGAAGACGTTAACAAATTGGTTCTAGAAGAATTCCCTAGCTAGCTTAATCGCAGTTTTCTTAAGCACTCGAAATTGACAACGGGCGGCATTTCCGAAACACCTGGTACATAAAGACGCTCCCGCGTTACAGGAGAGCTGCTCGAGCTGCACCGAAGAGTCGGAAGAGGTGGAGACCTCGCAAAACCTCAAAAACGTGCAGAAAACGAACCTCAAAAACATCCGCGATCAGTTCGATCACCTGTCGGTAGTTACGGAGGAGACGTCATGCGAGAACTCGGAAGGGAATTCGGGAAACAGGAGATCGCTGCCAGGCGGTCAAAACGTGTGGAACTACGACGACAAGGACGTCCTCAAAGCTGACCAAAGTTACCCCACGACGTACGACAATGTAGGGCAGAACCGAGCTCACACCCTCCCCAATCAACTACAGATGAATTTTTTCACGCCTATTCAGAGTTCTAAAAGTTTCGATGAAAACCAGTTCAATCAGGTAAGTAAATGCGACTGCACTTTGGTGTTGCTAATATACCTTTGACGATGATATTTCTGATTCCGTACCGACGTCAATTTTGTCAGTCCAGAGATAACACTCTCTACCCGGAAGATTTCTACGACACCCAAACCACGAACAGGAATATCGTGATGGATTCCATATCAGATCACGCGACTACTCCGCCACTGGCTATTTCCCCCGACACTCCCGCCTACGAGGGCGGACCACAACATTTCGACAACGAAACCAACTTCCTGAGCCGGAAAATGGTGAGGACCAACGCCAACAACTTTTACCAGAACATGGTCCTGGTGGCGCCCAATACGGTTCCCCCGCCAGAGACGAAGAGCATGGAGAAAAAGGCGACCGACCTGATCGTCAAGATCGACAACAAGAATTTCAACGGCAAGAGTTTGACTTACAGCAACACGACGCCCAGTACCACATTTTCAAACGGCGGCAACTTGGAAGAACTGCTGCACGACATAGAGTCTATTTCGCAAGTAAGTACAGTTCAGTTTGCCTCGTTAAACCCCGTTCAGTGGGCATACCAACCCCATAAATGGTGTTTACTGAATAAGTAGGTAGGTAGGAATGAATCTTTATACAGTAGAACCACGATTATCCGTACTGTGATTAAGCGGATTGTCCGGGACATTAGGTCCCATTCCATATTAATTTCGCATGTTTGAAATTTTAACGACATAGCGGCACAATCCTCCAGGTTACTATAAGAACCACTAAGCTGAGCCAGGTCATCAACGATATTGGCACATGACAACCTGATTCATAGGTAAATGAGACCCAATACGAAGAAAATAACGGGAAGCTATCAGTCAAAAGAACAACTGACCAAGAGACTGAAGAAGTTGCCATGTTCTACTAAACTACTTTGACAAACGAAAATATTCAGACCATTTTGAACTCACGCACGAAAAAGATCTAAGAATTATAACACAGACTAATGCGACTAAAATATGTATGCTACATACATATCTGCTTTGTATAAAAACCAGTAAACACACCTATGTAGATTTTTTAGTGTTCATGTTTAGTGTAAAATTTTACTTATGTAGAATTCTATTTCATTATTCAGTAATCTTCACAAATACATACAATATACGCAATGTACACAAGAATATAGTACTAACGTGTACATACATACATACATACATACATACATACATACATACATACATACATACATACGTACATACGAACATACGTACATACGTACATACGTGCATACGTACATACATACGTATATACGTACATACGTTCATTCCGTACATACGTACATACATACTTACATTCATACATACATACATACATACTTACATACCTACATACGTACATACGTACATACGTACATTCCTACATACCTACATACGTACATACATACATACATACATACCTACATACGTACATACCTACATACATACATACACGGAACACCGATAATCGAAGTCTTACTGTATTAGCGATTTTTGATTTTGTAAAATTTAGTCTCGATTTCTCACGAAAAGTGCTTTGTTGTTTTATCAAATATCTATTTTAGAAACACGGTTAAGTTTCGTCGCTGGAAAGATATTCGTAAGGTTAGGCACAGCGTTTTATATTAAAAAAAAGGATAAATATTTACTTGATGCCATAAATGAATTGTATGACATGGCTACGATACCGTTTATTTCTGTGAAAGAAATAGTGCCAAATCCCATTAAAACAAGAATGAATCGTGACGATTTGGGTCCAATCAAATGTTTTATAGTAGCAAAGTATGGGCAAAGATCTAGCGAACTCATTAAAAATGCAAATCCCTTCGGCTCGACCCCGGCTATTGTTGAACATGTGAAATTCGGCTACCGCATTTACAATGGTAAAAATATTGTGTAAAATTCGTTGTTAACACTTAACACAACAAAAATCTCTTTGTAAATACAGCCGCACAACATTTCATTCTATCACCAACGAGTTCGTCCCTGTCTTCATTCGGACAACGACTTGCTACGGACAAAACCCGAACAAGCTGTGTAGAATTAGTAGCTTATGGGAAGTTTTGTAAAAAATGAGTTTCAACCATCACAAAATAGACAAGAGAATGGAACCCCAGCCATTACAAAAATGGCGACATTTGTATATAACGGCAGCGATAAGAATTCTGAGAATCGGTTAAATTATTTACTTCGACGAAATATATAAATTAATTACAAACTTTTTATCAATATCATTATCATTCATTTCTTTCCGTCCTCCGAGAGTCGACGACATCTTTATATTTGTCATTTGCAGCAAGTCTATTCACAAGCTCTTCTTTACACAGTAGGACCAACACAATTTATTATTTAAGTCAATAACACCTTCAATTTGGGAGTTAGGTCCTTAACATTTTATTGCTCTCTAATATTCTCAGGCCACTTCAAAGGAGTGAAGCAGCATTTCACTTGTTTCATTCAATAGAACTACCATATAGCCAATGTTAAAGTCAATTTATTTACCTATTTATTTATATTTTAAGATTTAAGATTTTTAAGTTACATATTACAATGAAAAATCTCAACAATATATTTGAATTAACCATACGTATTGACCAGAAGAATTTTTTCCGTACCGTTCCAGATTTCTCATAATCTTAAGCACTAGTTCGTTAGGTTAGAATGTCGTGGAAAATAATTTATATACATTTTCAATTTTAGTAAGCATTTAACTAAAGCTAGGCCACATTTGTGGGCATTTTATTGAACTAACGATGTATCAAATATAAATTAAAACATTTTAATCTTTAACAATCTTTACCAATACCGAGAGTGAATTGTAACTTTTTAATTTGTTCAGTTCTTGATATTTTATTTAAATTTATTAATAATTGCGTTAGAAAAGTTAGAATAGTTTTATTTGTTTTTCAAAGGAAAGAAAACTTCACAGTCTTACCATTCTTTGAAATAATGCTGATAAACACCTTATTTCGGTGACGCGGTACAACTCAGCCGAATCTCGACCCCATCGCTAAGCGAAATTCAATCTCCCAGCATCCATCGGCACATCCTGAACCTGCGTTTCAACCCGCAGGATATACTGAAGCTAACAAATTTGCAGAAGGGGGTGCTGTCTCCCATTCCAGAACCCGACGGTTCGAATTTTTTCCCAGACGTCCAAAACCGAGACCTCACCTACCTGCACAACCCGATCATGGATCATCTAGTTTCCGACGTCGGTAGTCGTGGCCACGTCGTCGACGACAAGGTCCACAAAAGCGAACTTAACGTGGTGCTGATGCCCAAAGCTATGCCCCTGATCGGATTCGACAAGTACAAGAACATCGAACGGTACTAGTTAAACACTTCAAAGCCACAGGAGAGACCCAAACACTTAACAAACTATAATTGAATTAAAACATCGCAAACGAAATAGTTGTAATAGTCACCTGCAGTTGCTAATACTTCATAATACTTCATTTTGTTGCACCCAATGTTAACAGAAACATTATAAGTAAAGAGCAAAATGTCAAAATGGCCTGACTGCAAATAAATTAACCACACACTAAAGAAAAAACCGATCAAAATTAGAGCAATAAAACTAGAAGAATGTGTTCGAAACTTGCTTGACTTAACAATCAAATTTCTTCTCATTTTAAATATTGGATAGATTTTAGGGTAACTTTTTGCGAACACTTGTGCTTATGGTCTATACTAAGGTACTGAGGTCTTCGGTTTAAGTTTCTAGAGTTTCTAAAATATCCTCGATTTAAGTTTAAAAATGTGTCTGTTTCATGTTTAGCACTTAGTTTCCCTTTTAATTTTGTTGTTGCTAAATATGTTGTTTTAAATACCACCTTTGGATAAGCATCTATATATGTGGCGATGCTGAATTTATACACAGTGTTGAAAACGCAATACAAAGATGCCGAGTTGTATGAAAATTATTTTTTAAAGTGCTGAAATAAATCGATTTCTTCGGAAAGTCTAGGAACGTGCAGAATTTTTTTTCTTGAAGACAAGCTTAGATAGAAAAAAGGTAAGGAACAAAAATATTTCATTTTTGATTGTTTGATTCAAAAGAAAAATTAAATATTTATAAAATTATCGCACCATGCTTTTGCATATAAGTATGAATTAGGTCACCTTCTGGGGCGCCACTGAAAAGAATAATTTTATTTTAAATACACAAAATAAATAAGCATGTCAAGTGTTGCTAAAATGTGCCTCTGCCTCTGCAGTCTATATTAAAAAGAAAAAATTAGATCCCAATTTCAAATGGCAAAAATTATTTGTGTCGATACTCGTATTTGGTACTTTCAAAACTTTAAAAATCAAGTGCTTAACCAACAACAGTCAAAAGCACTTCATATTTATCAACTTGTTTAACTTCTGAATTTATAAAAATAAGATCCTTCCTGTGGTAAGCCACCTTTAACTGTAACTGTACCTTTGCAGTAACTTTTTTGTTTTTATAGATATCAAGGTAAACGAAAAAACAAAATGTAGGGTTAGTAGTCAAGTGACGCATGAAACAAAACACTATCAATTTTCTAACCTATATTTTTTTAAATGTGTTTAATAGAATATCTGATTCCGATTACAATGATGTAACACACTTTATATTTTAGTTCACTCGTTTTTGACAAATCGGCAAAAATCGGAGATTTTTATATAATTTCAAAGGGTGCCATGACTGATTGCAACAACAATAATTATTTACAGATTAAAGTAAACATGACAAGACACACTAAAGTAAAAAATGCTTTAACTATTCTAAACACAGTGTGACCACCATTTTCCTGAACACATTTCTCATACACTCTAATTGTTTCCGGATTGTCTCGTAACTGATTAATTGCCTCTGAAATCCTTTGCCGAAGTTCCACTACATTCTTGCAAGGACTTCTGCGCACGTGGTTCTTAATGTGTCCCCAAAAGAAAAAATCCATTAAAGTTCAGCCATATAAACAGCGCTCATATATTGCTTCTATATATTGTTCTATTTGGTGCTCTAAGAGTTGCAAATAGTGATGTCCAGTTAATCTATAATAATCGGATCCAAAATATGCCTATCTATTGTCTACGATCAATCAATATCAATATCACGTATTTTGTCTATTACAACTCTTCCTTGTAGTGAAATGTTTTTCAAAAATTATTATTCTCATTATGTCCATTTAAAAAAATCCAAGCAAAACTGTTCTGCACTTAGTTTTTGAGTTTTACGAAATTTAAATGCATTCATTATATTTATATTTTTTCAAAACTGAGTAGATTGATCCCTGAGAAATAAAGTCTGTTCATAGATATAAGAAAGTGACTAATTGATACGAATTAAGGAAAGACCCGGGCAAGCTGTAAGAATGAACTATGGCCGAACAGGTCCGTAATTTGCTTAAAATTTAATTATTTGGTATTTTGTTAGGAAATATACTAAACAATATTTATTTATGTGTGTATTTATCTTTAAATCTAAAACAAAAATTACAAATTATTTTTATTACCTACTTAAATTACTTAAAATTATTCACATAATATATCAGTATCACTATCGCTATCATCGCCGGTTCTAATTATTATTTGTTTATATTATTTAAACTTCGGTTTCTATAAGTTTGAGGACATTGGATTTAACACGGGGAAAAACATTGTTACGACGAATGGCAGATTTCGGTTGGTGCCAAACATTTTCAATGGGATTAAATATACAGTGGCAAGGTGGAAGCATTAAAACTGTATACCCTAGATTTTTTGCATAATTATGACAGACGTATTCCTTTTGTAGGTTAAAGCTTTGTAGAACCTCAATTAATTGTTTTTTGGTATAATCTTCGTGAAAATAAATGTCGTTATTATACATGTAGTTTTGGATTTAAATTCCGAAACTTTAGGTAATAATCTTGTTGCATTGTATGCAATTGGTCACTTTCTTATATCTATGGACAGACCATACCTGCCTCTTTATATACTCTAGTAATGGAGGAAACTGGATGTGCCTCAGAGAATCCTAATATGTTTGCCTTATTTTCTTCATTTAAAACATTATGATTCCGGCATACATTTTTAGCATTTAATACGATATCGTTTTTTGCAAATACTAAATAATTAAGTAAATAAGTAAATTTCCTATTTCAGCCGATTTGTCAAAAACGAGTGGACTAAAATATAAAGTATGCTACATCATTGTTATCGGAAAAAACTTGACTAATAACCCTACACTTCGTTTTTTGTTTAACTTGATATCTTTAAAAACAAAAAAGTTACAGTCAATTAAAATGTTATCAAGATAAATTGAACGCACGGTACGCCTTCAGTTGATGATACTAACGACGAGTTTCAGGAGTTTCGAAAGGCTGAACTCGGATCATTTGGACGATGCGTCTGCGTCGCAGCAAAATTTATGTCTGATCCCACCCCCTTCCGCCGAAACGGCACCCGAAACCGCCGCCACTCTGACGGAAACTGCCGAAGCCAATCCGTTCTTCTTCGGCCATTTCAACGACAACTACGTCAACGCAGACTACTTCAACATCAGGTACAACCCGGAAAACTTTACGAAAAAGGACGAAACTGGTGCGATATTCCCGAAAAGCCGGAAGGATTCTTTTTCAATTACGACACCTATTGCAGATCAAGGGGAAGGCGCGCAGAATGTAGAAAACGACGAGAATATCGACTTGAAGACGACCGCGACGAAAGAAAAGGGGAAAAAATCGGAAGAAAATCAACCAAAGTCGCCGAAACTGAGCATCACCAAGAAAGTGTCGATCCACTTTAAGGGCAAAAAAGAGAAGGAGAAAATGAAAAAGGCGGCGCTAGAAAACGAAGCTAAAAACAACGTCAAATACGCCAGGCAGGATAGCAAAAAGTCGTCCATTTTCGATTTACGGTGTGACACTCGGTATAACATAATGATTAACTGAACGGCAGATGAAGTGGAACATCCAAGAAATTGTTTTGTTTAATCCCTTGCAGTGGCAGAGGAGAATTTCCATTTTTTCGAGACGAATTTGGAAAAGATTGGGAGTTATTTAAGACGTTGAGTGATCATCATACATTGGGACATGTTCCTTATTTTTTGATACATGCGAAAGCTAAGAAAGTATTGCTTTCAAATGTCACTAGTAAAAACTATCGAAAACAAATCACGTGGATTTTCATCAGGTACAAGCCACTTCAGTTCAATTAAAAAAAACAATGCCTCACTGTTAAAAATTTAGAACAAAACGTTTTTTTTTTTTCAAATTTCATAAAGCTTGTCCGCACGCCATTTTTTTGCAAGTTATTTCTTGGTGCAGTTTAGGCGCTATCTGTTTTTTAATTCTAACTTCAAATTAACAACCTAGTTGCAGTGTATCAAAAAAAAAGGCAAAGGCGACAAGAAGCGATTTAAAAAAGAAAATCTAATCCGTCCAATGACCCAAGTTTGACCACTGAAATGTCGAATCTTCATCTTCATCTGCCGTTCAGTTTATTTAATTTAGTTGTTTATTTTCCTATTTTGTGCACTTAGAAAACCAATTAGCTTACGAAAAAAAGGAATATTATAATAACGCTTATTTTTCGTCAGATTTGGGAACGACGCGTCACGGGAAAAGACGGAAGCGAAGGACCAGCCGAGCCACGCGAAACAAAAAAGCGCGGACAAATCTAAGCAGCTCCATCAGAAAACGCCCAGCATGGAGTCCAGGAAATCCGCAACGGAGGCGTCGAATTTCGAACCTAAAACCCCCACCTCGACCGATTCCAGCGACAAGAAAACCTTGCCGAACGGAAAAACGCAGGAGGCGAAGAAGGAAAACGAAAGGAAATCGAGGAAAAGTACGTCGGTCAGCCCAGACAGAGGAAAACACGTCCACGTCATACCTGATGGTACGTGACTTTAGTGAAAAATTAACTGCTTTGGCAACACCGCAATGCGTTTGTAATAGCAGTACATTATAAAAAAATTTTCCCTAAATATGTACAACAATTTGAAGTTGTCAGTATAAGTTTTCGAAGCAAACATACAATGTATATAACGAACAATCTAAAATTCAGAGGTCATGTAGCTTTCAAAGTTCCAAAAAAATATTTATAGTTATAATAGCATTCTTCTGTTAAAATGTGTTTAATAGTTTTTTTTTAATTCCAATCGGGAACAGTTGTTTTTTGAGAGTTGCCAGTATTTTGTTATACAGTTTAATACCGATGAAGTTAATGGATGATTCTATGTCTGCTATCATACATATGAAGGTCGGATCTCTTTATTTTTTTGTAAATTAAATTATGTACTGACAGATGAACATTGAAATGACAGTTAGTATTTTCATTTCTTTAAATAGTAGCTGACAATGATCCTTATTTTGCGCACAACACAATGTTCGAACAAACTTTTTTTGAGTTTTAAAGGTTCTATCTGCTTCTGAAGAGTCTCTCCACAAAAATATGATATATGATTTCATGTAAATGAAGTTACTAAAATAAAACGTTAAAGTTGTAAGTTGAATAAGTTTTCGAATATGAAATGTAACTTCCTTACCTTTTGATATTACACAATAAAATAGCTGTTTCTTTAGAAACAATTAATTTGTGCTTATTTAAAATAATAAGATTCAAAACACATCATTGAAATGTGTAAAAAAAATCACCCGTACAAAAAATAGTCCAACCGGACAAGGTCGACTGCGAAATGTCAAAAACCAATCGTAGCTTTGCTACGGATCATGCCGATTAAAGTCTCACATCCGATTGGTGAAAATTTTAGCTCATTGTAGCGTCCCATTTGGTCTTTGATCCGAACTTGACCTTAATTTCAGCGTCGTACATGAAGAAACACAAAAAGCACCGCAGAGAGCGTTCGGGCGTGAGACAGAGGCGTGCTTCGGTGGACCACAGACTACGAGAACGTTCGTTTTCGGTATGCACTGACCGTTCGATTCTAGACTCCCGTCTCGGGCTAGCCTCGAGCCTAGGGGGCTTCATCTACGAGGACTACTCGGACAGGGAGCGGACCAACAGCGGTTCGTCTTGCGATTCCAACCAAACTCACAGGAAACTGTCGGCCATTTCGGTTGTGCCGCTCAATGGGAAAGTGCCTTGGTGCGGGTGTTGGGGGAACGGGTGTTTGTGACGTGAGAAGAACTTCAAGTGTCGTCAAAGTGGTGAACGGAGAGACGAAGACTTAATTTAAGACAGTATTGATGAAGTTTAATGTCGAAGACCTGGTGTAAATATTTTATCTCTTTTTTTTTAAGAAAATAGATATATTTCCATGACGTAAAATGGTAATGATGGTAAAATAAAATTACACAAAACTTCAATGCATATGATGACTTTTACATATAGTAGACAGAAAAATTTAAAGGCTAATTGGCCTATTAATGGTGTATTTAAGGAAATTCCACGTTTAGACTGCAACATTAACAATAAACACACCTATCTGTAGGAAAATAGAAAAGGGAGAAAATTTAAAAGCAACAAAGGGAATGATAACATGTAAAAAGTAAGTAGAAACCAAAATTAATAAATCAAAATAATAGATTCCTTTTTTACTTACTTATTTTTTTAATTCAGAAATAATTCCGATGTAAATAATAATAATAATAATAATAATAATAATAATAATAATAATAATAATAATAATAACAATGTAAATAATAATCAATATATCAAGACGTGCGATTAATTTTCAAGGTGCTCTTAGAATTTCTGGACAACTGAATAGCATTTTTTTTTCAAATTTGCCGCAGCGTTGCCAAATCAGCTCAAAACAGACAACAATATTGGAAAATCAAATGAAACACTATGTATTTCATTCGGGTTTTGCGCAAAATTCTGAGTAACTCTTGTTAACATTTCCTATGTCTATCTCTTTCCCTTATTTCAGAAAAAAAAATAATGTATTTTTTCGCAGAAGAACACCGCTGTATTATAGCTTTTTTTTTTTCGCCCAAGTGAGCTAGCTATTTCAAAATTTTACAGGGGTTAGCTAATAAATTTATTTGAACGAGCAATACTTCGCAAAACTATTTTTTTTCCATTTTCGATTTACGGTGTGACACTCGGCAGATGAAGTGAAACACCCGATAAATTGTTTTGTTTGATACCTTGCAGTGGTAGAGAAGAATTTCCATTTTTGGGAGACGAATTTGAAAAAGATAGGGAGTTTTTTTATGACGTTGAGTGATCATACCACGTGAGAGCTAAGAAAATATCGCTATTTAAAAAAAAAGTTTTGTGCAAGTTGCAAAATATTCAAAACCAGTGACGGGCAAGAACGGAATAAATTATTTTCTTTTTTTTTTTTGAATGCCTAGAATCTCATACACTTGATCATTATAGAGTCCATTTTTCGGTTCGAAATAGAAAATTTAATTCATTAAATGAAATTGCCAGGAACAGTTTTTTGATTAATTTTTGCTTCATTTTCTTCACAATTTTGGTTTGCACACTTTTTTTTTATTTTTGCATCTTACTTATCCTTATCATTTTCTCTCTTACTTTCAAATTTCCCTTTACAGTGTCGTTTATCGTTTGTACTTTTTGGAAAATTGAGTTTTGTTTTTTTCCTAATCCAAGTTACAACACTATGTACTAAATAATGATATAATTTATTTTAAGAGAAGAATTTTCAAAAAGATATCCTCTTTTCCGGTCTATTTATTTACTTTTTATTACATTTTGAAAATTCGCTTAAAATTCAGACGAACAAAAAACAAATAATTTAACACGTATCACATCTCTAATTTTATGTTTTAACGGTAAGTTGCATTGAACTGAGGTGGCTTTTACTTGATGAAAATCCATTTATCAAAATAAACAAGAACTAAAAGTTCAGATTTTCACGAAATTATATATTATGACATGACAATTGTTTCGACAATAGCGTGTCTTTATCATCAATCATCAATCAAAAACATTTTCTTTTAGTTCTTATTTATTTTGGTAAGTTGCATGTCCAACTATTTTCAGTTTAAAAGGAGAAATATTCCCTAACAATTTTTCTCTCAAAAGTGTATTCCGCAAGTGGATTATAACTATAACTATCTTTAAAACTGATGCAAATCTTCCGCTCATTTTTTTTTAATAGATGCGCACTAAGGTGGGTAAAAATAAACGATGACACACAAAAACTAGTTACTAGTTACCTCTACCACGTATAATTTCTTAATATTAATGGGAAGATTATCCTCATTATAGTTTTGCATTTTCGATTTAGTTTCATATATAAATAATCATATCTTATCACCAATTTTATTGATAATTTTTATAGGAAATTGAACGCTCTACAAAAATAGTATTTTAAACTTTTTTGATAAATCAAACCATTTCAAAGATATTCGAAGTCAAAAATTGAAGAAATAACTTTTTGTTTTCAACTTTGTTATTGACTGTAAATTAATTATCGTAAAATGTTTTCAATTATTCTTATAGAAAATTTAATGCTCTGCAAAAAAGTTCTCTCGATTACTCGAACCATTTTGAAGATATTTGGACTAGAATCCTAATAGTTTTTAATACATATTTTCAATTTATTCATTAAATTGACGAGTATTCACAACGTTCATAAAAATTGGAGTCCGCTTTGATAAAATAACAAGTTTTTAAATTATTTGTACCATTTGTTTGGGAGTATATTTCTTCCTAATCAAAATTCCAACGATGTTTTCGTTTATCATTTATAATTTTCTTTTAATCGCAACTGAGGATCATAATTCAATATTTCTCAACGGGTCAATTTAAAACTAAAAAAAAAACACAAAGGAGAGCTTTTTTGTAGAGCATTAAATTTCCTATAAGAATAAATTAAAACAGTTCACGATAATTATTTTTCAGCCTATAACAAAATTCCGACCAAAAAGTTAATTTCCTTTAAATTCTTTAATATTTGACCTCGAATATCTTGCAATTGTGAAGCATTTTTTTCTGTTTTCAAAAAAAAAACTAATTAGAACATTGAGAAACTCGAGCCTATTATGCTAGGATTGCGATTGTTATCTGTCAACTGCCTAGGGCCCCCCTCTTCTCCCGCGACTGGCAATAAATAACGTCGATAAATTCCATGTCGTCCTTAATACCGAAAAATCAGTGCGGTGAAAACAATCCTGCCGGATCGACGTCTTTAAGATCCCTCGGGAACTATCCTGTCCCATTTAGATGTTATCGCGAAATACGCAACGAAACTCCTCCTCGTTAGGGAAAGAAAATCGAAATAAACGAGACGCACCCCCACGCCCCGTTGCAAAACAGCCCAGACGAAAGGAAAACGAGCACCAAACCCCCCACTCTCGGTTATTGTTGATTTAGTCACAAGAGAAGCGCATTATATCGATTTTGATCACTTTGACTCGGATGAGCAAAAAAAAAGCCGGAAGCATTGCCGACCAACTTCGGTAGGGTTTGGGAGGGGATGAACGCGCCAAACTTCCGCAAACGTTATACTGGGTGAAACGAAACGGTTGAAAAATCGATTACTTTCTCAGACGGTCTGCTACGCGTCTCACTTGAGCATGGTTTTGTTCCTGGCAGACCACTTATAACAAATAACACTGGAAATTATCTTTTGACTCGGCTGCTCTGGACTTCAGCGAAACTTTCCATCACATCGACGTTTATTATTCAAAGTTGAAAAGGTCAAACTGCGAAATAAGCTGTTACAACGACAAAACGTGCCTGCTGGTGTTCCACAAGGATAAGTGCTGGGACCAGTGTTATTCTTATTGTATACACTCTCGCAACAACAGTTGCTGCGGATACTTATCAGTATATCGATTTAATTAGTGCCTAAAAACTTTTCATATTACCACTACAACCGCACTAAAATGGCTGGAATAGTTTAAGCAATAGTTTTGCTCGCCAATTTTTTTTTAAATGTCGGCATTCATTACTTTTTTAAATAATTTTTGTTATTTTTCTATTTTATCAAAAAAACGTTAATTAATGTAAACATAACTTTTATCCATTTTTCAAAACAAATTAGATTTGGGTTTAGAAATTTAATAGTAATTTAAGCATTTTATGGAAAATGTTTTTAGTGATTTTACAAACAAAATAAACACATTTTTTAAAATCAAATAACCACAAAATATCGTTCGATTTTTATTACCTCAGGCTAAGGGCTCTTGCTATTAGATTATAATATACTATAATAAGTAAAATTTGATGCGCCTCAGGTGGCTCTGATATTTTCGTAGAGATGGAAACGGGGAAATCCTTGAAAACATGGGAACGCTTTTCAAAAAAACTTCAACACAATTGCCGATGAATACTTAGGAATGTATGGTGGCAATGTCTCCGGTGTAACTTCACAGGTGGACCTAGGTGTAACAGGTGTACACTAATGATCTTGCGTAGTCTTTTAAAAATCAAACATTTAAGATAAGAAAAGGACAAAAAAAGGACATCATAACGACTACATTTTATAACACGACATTCTATCAATCATCATCTATCCGAAGATGTTGTGTTGACAACAATAACTAAATACTCACATGTGTATAACGTTTCTTAACATAACATCTCCTGTGCACAAATTAAAAAGTTATCACCACTTCGCTGTAACCTGAATGCCACAGATCTCCAGCTTATAATTGGATGGCATCAAAAATACATTAAATAATACGAAATTCTGAAATATTTGGACAAATATACGAGGTGTGTTTAAAAAGTACGGTAACTTTTGTAATTTTTTTTGTTATGTTGGTACACATTTTCACAGTTTCAGCCAGTTTGCACGTTTATTTCTGTGAGGCAGATGCGTAGCGAAATTTAATAAAAAAGTTGTTCCTAGCGCTAGTTTCTGTTATAAAACGTTTAATAAAACTTCAAAGTTATATTTAGTGAGTTGATTGAGACCAAGTTTGACTTGTTTTTGGTTTTATTTACTTCAATGGAGTTAAGAAACTAGGCAACTGGCCATCCAAATCACCCGATTTGAAGCACTTGGACTTTCCACCTCAGGGCTGTATAAAGTTATGTACATACAAACTAGAGAAGAATTATTGGATTTCGTCGACGATGCCTTTGCTATTCGTTCATTGTGCGAGGAAAACTACAGTTTATTGAAGCTTAATTTTGCACTTCTTGTTTCTTGTGATCAAAGTTTTTTATGTCTTTCATTGTTTATTATCTCTCATATTCAATTCTTCCATTTTGATTTCATGAACTCAGTACACAAAATTATCTCATTGTGTTTGCTAAACATCGGATTAAAACACACAATACCGTATAACAAGAAAACAGTTGAAAGTAGATATGGGGAAAATATGAACAAATAAATGAATGCAGAATATACGGGGTATCATATTTAAAAAACCAAATTTTTTAAACAGCGTAATCTAGGGCCAAATTTTCGGCACAGTGTTAATAAATCAATTGTCACTCTTGTTCTTCGGTGTACGACGTAAGCGTTTATTAACGGTTAAAAATAGAGTTCGCTGTGTTGGAAATAATATTACATTACATT